GGAGCCACCACTATGATGGAAATACCTTCCTTGCCACCGGGTCATCCAGCGCCATTAGCGTGTTGCAAATCACCACCAGCTCCGATGGCGTGGCCCACCCCGAAGACATGATCCACCTGAATCTCCCGCCGGTCGGCTTGGCCCGGTCCTGCCTGGCCCTGGCCTTCAACCCCTTCTATCGGCACATCCTGGCCAGTGGGTGCGCGCATGGGGCCTTCCTCTTGCTGTTCCCGCCCTGGCCGAGTCTCACGCCATTTTGCCTCGTCTCTGCCGGCTCGCCGGGTGCCCTCCATCTTGACATCCGCCCAGGGTCGATGGGTTTCGCAATCACTCGACCGTGCATTTGTGGGACATGGAGACCGTGATGCCGCTGCCAAAGGCCCGTCCTGGCCCGATGGCTTCCTGGGCGGGGCCCCATGCCGGCCATGCCTCCGGTGGCCTGGCCTCGGCCCCGGCCTCTGGGGTCCACCACTCGGCTGGGGCTGGGGCTGCCGGCCCCGGCCCGATGGCCGGCCTTCCGGTGTATGACCGCACCGAGTCCATGGCCTGGCTGGACCGGGATACCTTGGTGGCCGGGGCCGCCGGGCGCATCTTGCGCCTGTTTGACCTGCGCCTGGCGGCCAGCGGCCAGCCAGTGGCCGGCGCATGCCGCACGGCCGCCACACTGGGCATCTCGGTCGACCCGCACGGGGCCGGCCATCGATTTGTGTCTCTGGCCCCGCCGGCCGCCAGCCGATCGGCCCTCGGCGACTCCGGTGCCCGGAATGAGGCCCTCTGGTCGGCTTGCTTTTGGGACAGGAGGCGCTTCGACCAGCCGGTGCTGGTGACGGCAATCGCCGGGCCCGAGCGCCTGGCCCCCTGGGGCGATGATGGCACGCTGGACCCGCCGGCCGCCGGGGCTGAGGCCATTGGCTCCGGCGGGTCTGCGGTCCTCGATGACCACGATCAAACCATGGACCCCGGCTCTTCGCGCTTTTGGACCGGTGACAACCTGCACCTCAAGCAGGCCATCCTACCGGCCCCGGTGCCGGTCCACACGGCCTGGCACACCTCGAGGCCGGGCTTGCTGGCCGTCGTGCCGCCCAGCCTGCCGCCATGGAACTCGCGCGGCCTGCCAGCGGCCGGGGTGCGCACCGGTGGCCCCTCCACCGGCGGGCCGCACGATGCCCTCCACCGGTCGCAAATGGCGGCCGATACCCCACCGGAGCTCCGGTGCTGGTTCCTCCACACGGCCCCGGCCGATCCCTATGGCATCGACCCGGCGCTGGCCGATGCGTCTGGCCCCGATGAGCACCCCGATGATGTCGGCCTCCTGCGCGTGTCCTCCGGTATGGGCCCCTCCCCTGAGCCTCTCTTTGCCCCTCTGCCCGTGCCTGTGCTTTTGCTTGTCCCCGGGCCCTGGCACCCTGCCCGGCATTCTCTCTCTCTCACACACACACACACACACACACCTGCTCAGCTGTCGCCCCCCGGCTTCTGATGTGCGATGTGGCCAGTGCATCGGTGGCCGCACCCGCCAATGCCACCGTAGCCGGGGCGTCTGGCCACCTTGCGTCGATCGCACCGCCGCGGCTCGGTGACATTGTGTGTGTTGCGTCGATTCCACAATTGCCCGATGGCTTCCTGGTCCTGGACTCGGCTAGCAACCTGGGAACAATGACCGTATGTCCGAGGCTCCCGCCCCCCCCCCCCCCCCTGCCCTTTTCTCTTTCCTCATTTTCCACCCTTTCCATGGGGGACATTGCTTTGGCCCTTCCCTCCTGCCCACGGTTTCTCTTCCTCGCCTCCCCCCCCCCCCCCCCCACACACACACACACACACACATGGCCTCCCCCTTGCTCATCTGCCTGCCCGCCATCTGGCTTGCTCCCGAACAATGGGCCCACCCTGACGCAAATGTCTCCCTGGCAGCTTCCGACCAGTCGTACGTTGGCCATTTCTCCGGCCGACGAGCTGGCGGTCAACCTGGCCTCGGCGTTTTCCTCTCGGGCGACGCTGCCAGCTGTCGGACCAACTGGCGCGATGTCCGTCACTTCGGAGCTTCGCCTGGCCCTGCTCCAATCCTTCCAGCCATCGAATGACTCCAGCGTGGGTGTCCAGTCGTTGGTGGCCCGCATGCGTGCCGGCTATACGGTTGATGTGCGGTCATGCTGGCCGTCGCCGCTCGCTGCCTCTCGACCCTCACTGACCCTGCTCTTTGTTGGCTCTTTGCCCTTCCCCTGCCTACCCCCTCCTCTCTCCCTCTCCCCCTCTTGGACCCCAATTATTAGCCTCTGCTCAACAGCTCCCTCACACAACTCCCGCCAGGACTGCGAGCCGTCTGGCATGACCTAGCCTGCTCCATCCGCACCGGCTTGGTCATGCTGTCGTATGTCTTCTTCCAGCCCGTGCGCCTGGGCGTGGCGCCGGCCACAACATCGGCCACTGGCGGCTCGGCAGCCGCCCCGGCCGCCTTGGCAACGGCCTCCGGCGCGACTCCCACCCCTTCGGGCGGGTCGTCCGCTTCTTCGGCATCCTCCTCGGTGTCTTCCTCCTCCTCGGTGTCCTCCATGTCGCCCCATCCGTCGCAGGTGACCCTGAACAGCTTGCAGCCGCCGCCCCTGTCCGCCGGAGCTGGGGAGGCCCCTGCCCCGGGGGGGATGGTGGCCGATTTGGCCGGCGGCGTGTCGCCCACCGGCATGGGCGGGGCTTCCGGCGACGCCGCCTCTCCTCGGCTGCTGTACTTCCTCCGGAATGTCCTCGGCCTGCCGGGCGTGTCGACCATCATCTCGCTCGAGGCTGACATCCGCCGAGGTCGCGCGATGGAGACCCCCTGGGAGGAGGCGTCCTGGTGCGACTGGCCTCCCAGCAGCTCGGCTGGCCGGCTGCCCGGAGACATGGCGCCCAATCCCGCGTACGATCGCCTGCTGGACCGATCGGCCTTCCTCGGTCGGCGGAGCCTGGCTCCCTGCCTTCGGGCTGCTGGGCTGACCCGGCTCCGGTGTCTGGCCCTGAACCTGTGCGGCTGGCCGACGGACCTTCCGCCCGAGCTGATCCATTGGCTCGGGTCGCGGGCCTTCGATTCCGGCACGGGGCAGCCCCTTTGGTCAAGTGCACCCGAGCGCCGGGCCGAGCACCTGGACCGCCTGTTTGACTTGGCCCCCTTGGCTCCGGCGACGGCCGAGCAGACTCAAAGCTTCCTCCTGGTACTGGAGCACGCCCTGCGACGGTGCGTCTCGCCTCCCGACACGAATGCCCATCCACACATGTCCTCGCACGGGCCAATGCCTATTTGCTCCCCCATCTGCCTGGGGGATCACGCGCGGATGACCCGGAATATGTCCAGTTTGATAACGGATTGTCCCTCCTTCTTCCTCTTGCTATCTTTCTCTTTTTCTCTCCCTCTCCCTCTCCCTCTCCCTCCATCACTCCATCACTCCCTCTCCTTCCATCGCTCCCTCCCGCCGCAGGCTGGAGGATAACGGCGAGTTTGAGCGCGCCGCCGCCCTGGCCGTCTTCCACAATCAGTTCCCCCGTGCCGCCCTGTCCCTCGAGCGCCATGGCAGTGCGTTGCCCGCCCCGCCTCTGTCTCGCCTGCGTCTCCGGCCACCTCCTTTCCCTGAACGCCTGCCTGCTCCATTGCCGCCATATCTCACACGCCGCCCTTGCCCTCGAGACAGGCCTGCGCAACCGGCTCCTGTCGTCGGCTCTACGGTCGCACCATGCCCTGATGTCGGTCCTGCCGGTGCCCCTTTGTCTCTCCGACAGTCCGCTCTACACGTTCATCGTGGACCTGGCCGGCTCGCCGGCCGACTTGCCCCGGGCGAATGTGACCAGCCAGCCGGATGCCCCGGACCCCGAGCAACAGCCCTGCCCGGTGGGCGATCCCGAGCATGCCGACTATGTCCGGGGGTTGTTGAAATTCGTTCAACTTCAGAGCGCCGTCACCGAGCTGACCGGGCTCGATGAGGCTTCTTCCACCGCCGGGGCAGCCCCAGCTGCGGCGGGCACCGACGATGACACCCCGGTTCTCTCGCCAACGGACGCCTATGTGCTGCACTTCCTGCGCGAATGCCAGCTCCTGGCCCTGCCGCTGGCCGATCGCATCGGGCTTGGCCTGCATCATCTGTCGGATTCGGCCCTCGGCCTTTGGCTGGCCACCCTGGAGGAAGAGTGCCTGGCCACTGGGCGCCTGGAGGCGCTGCTTCTCTGCGGCCTTGGCTCCTCGACACAGCCTCTCGCCAGTGCGTCACTCTCCCCTGCCGGCGCCCAGCGTCCGCCAGGGCCATGTTCCTCCCTTGTTGCCCCCCTCTCTCTCGCTCTCTCTCTCTCTCGCTCTCTCTCTCTCGCTCTTTTGCGCCTGTTCCCCCTTGTCCTGACCCTTTTCCGTCTTACTTCCACACGCCTGCCCCCATGAAACCATGCCCACGCACACACATCACATCGCCTCGAATCGTCTCGCATCGCCTCGCACCTTTGGCACTGACTCGGCCTCCACTTGCCCATAGCCTATTTGAATGCCACCGGTGACATCCAAACCACGGCCATGCTGTCGGCACTGCCTCTGATCACGAACTTCCTCTCGGCCTTGGCCCACTCGAATCCAGTCTGCTCGTTGGCTGCGTCGCCCTTCCTCAGTGACCAGGCCGGTGGGGCGCTTTACCCTCCAAGCGCCGCTGGCCCGGCCCGGTCGCCGCCCGTCGGCCCCGGAGCCGCGCATGGGCCCAAGTCTGCGGCTGCTGCGGCGGCTCTGGCCGCTGCCGCCGCCGTGGGCCCCGGCGGCCCGGGCGCCCTCCTGCCCGCCTTTGTGGGCAATTCCAATCCCGCGTTGCGAGCCATGATGTCCCGCCCGGCGCTGGAGGATGTCTTTCCGGAGTTGGATGTCAGCCGCGTGCCGGGGCTGGCATTCCCCGGCTTCCGGGGCCGGCTACATGCGGACCTGGTGGCCAACCACCGGAATGCCCACCAGTTCCAAGTCTGGATTGACCGGTGGCGCGACCTGCTTGACCGACTGGCCCTCTGGGAGGATCGCGCCCTGTTCGACGGCCTGCTGAAGCAACTGTGCGTCCATCCACACAACCGCGAGACATGCATGCCACCGAGGCTCGCACATGCTCGCGCCCGGTGTGCATTGTCCCCGCCGCCGCCCCTCTGACGCTGACCTGCTGCTCCATCCTCTCTCTCTCTCTCCTCCTCCTCCTCCTCCTCCTCCCGCTTCGCACGCCGGCGCCCTTCTCGGCGCTGAATCCGACGAAATGCCGCACTCGGCCCCAAAGCTACCCCTTCTTCGATTCGATCCCCCGGCCGTTGCAGCTTCGGTGCAACTTTTGCAGTCAATCCGTCTGCCCGCCGGTCTTGTCCCAGGGGATGGCCCCGCTTCCGATCAACTGGCAGCTGAGCTTCGAACGGACCCATGCCATGCCGACCGCCAGTGCATATGCCGGGCCGCAGTTGGTGTCGCCGCGCGGTGGCACCGGCGGGCACTTCAACCCCGACGTCACGCAGGCCATCAAGTTCGCCGAGCAAAAGACCGCCGGCGGCAGCGCGGCCCACCACCGGTCGCCCCTTGGGCACCTTTCCGTCGACGAAACCACCTTTGCCCAGGATGCCCGGCCCTTCACGTACACGGTACGCGGCCCACCCTTGCCGCTGTGCTCCGCCCTCTCCCCCATTGCCGTCCTCCTCTTCCGGGGTGGATAGTGTCTGTCCTGCTTTTCCCCGTCAGCGCATCTGACCTGCTCCTGCCCACCCACCCTCCCTCGCCCACACGCACACACACACACACACACACACCATCACCCTCACCTTCACCTGAGCCCAGTCCCGAGTATGCAACAACAGCTCCTGCAAGCAGGCCCTGGCACGGTGCTCCGTCTGCCTGCACCCGATGGGCGGCATGGTCAGCTCGGCCTGGGTGACACAGGCGCACCCGGCCGGACAATTGCCCGCCCTTTCCAGCTACCTGGCCGGGGCCAGCTCGCCACCCAGCCTGCAGGTGGCCCCGTCAGTGGATGGCGACTCCTCGGCCACAAGCAGCAGGGCCCCGGCCCGGCGCCGCTCCGGCCACCGTGACGCCTCCGGTACATTTCCTCGCCCCCCATTTATTTCCCCGACCCCGTCCCCATCCTGCCTCCCGAGCAACGCCCTTTGCCTGTCGCCGTGCCGTCTTCGCCATCACCCGCCGCTGCCTCCTTCTCCTCCCCCTCCTCCTCCTGACACCCACCCCTCATCCCTCGCCAGAAAACGCCTCCCTCAGTTCCGACACAGCGCCTCCCACCGAGACCGACGACACAGATGCCCTCCCCTCGGCCGAGGAGGAGCACCTCAAACAGGTAAACCGCCTTGCCGAACGCCTGGTCCCGGCCCTGACGCCTCTCGACCAGTGGTTCACCTGGTGCCATGTTTGCCGGCACGGCGGCCACCATGCCCATCTGATGGAGTGGTTCTCGCGCAATGCCGAGTGCCCTGTGGCGGCTTGCCTCTGCCAATGTGCCAGCATCATGTGACTCAATAAACATATGACACGGTGCTCCCCATCGCATTCTCCGCGCTAGACGCGCGCGCTTCGCCCTCGGGCTGGGCTTTTTCATCCTCATCCTCCTGCTCTCGCCAGCTTCCTGCTTTCTCTCTCTCTCTCTCTCTCCGTCTCTCGCTGTCTGTACACGCGTCGTGCCGCCCACCAACATCCATTGCCTGGCGGGGGCGGTTTTTTTTTTTTTACCTCCGTCAGTCTCCGCGGCCCTGGGGCCCTCCCCTGGGGGGCGGGGGACGGGGGCTTGTGCTACTCGATCAAGATCTTTAGCACGGACGCCGTTTCTGCTTTCCTTCGTTCTCTGCGTCTCTCGCTTTTACCTCGTCCCCCGATATGTTTCCATTCATTTCGTCCCCGCACGGATTGAGGGACATGGCTGCGGCGTGTTGGTTCGATGCGCGCCTCCTGCTGGGCGTGTTTTCTGTTTGCGCTTGGCAGCCGATCGGGCCAGCCCCCCGGGTGAACATCGGGCCGAGCTCTCTTCTTTTGTGCCACCACACCCGACATCCCACGCCGCGACCGGCCATCCATCCATCCAGCCAGCCCTCCCGGCCGCCGCGTCCTTTCCTCCGCTCTGCTTCTCCCTCTCAGCCTCCGGTCCCCCTCGCCCTACCCCTCCTCCGCCTGACACCCCTGCCGCACATTGTGCACTACACAGGTGCCGCTATGCCGCCAAGGAGGGCCAAATCCGCCGGCCAGGCAGACTCGGCCGCCGGCCGGCCACGCCAACAAACCCTGCTGGAGCTCAGCAAGCTCGAGCAACAGGCCGTGACCCCTGCCATTCCGGACGAGCCAGCCAAACGACCCCGCCCTGGGGATGTCATCCCACCCATCACTGGGGCTGCGACTTCTCAGGACCAGCCCCGGCGTAGCGCCCGCTCTCGGGCCGCCCCGCGCCGGCTGCTGGCCCGCCTCCAGGACACCAGCCCCGAAGAAGAAGAAGAAGAAGAAGATGATGATGATGATGACACCGACCACGATGACGATGTCACTGATCAGACCCGCCTGGATGGCACCTCCAGCGACTCCGGATCCTCGACTCCCTCCCCCTCGGACGACGAGGATGGGGACAAGGGCGGGGGTCGCGGCCGTCGGGCCGCCTCGGCCGGTGTCGCCGCCGCAACCCCTCCCAAGCCCCGTAAGACTCCGGGGGCCCCCTCTGCCAAGCCAGAGAAGCTCCGGTTCCCGGTGTCCGTTGCTCAGCCCCTTCACTTGGCCTGCCTTTGCCTTCCCCGGCCGGTCGTGGAATGTGCCAACTAACACCATCTGCCCCTGGGCGCAGATCGCTCACCCTGAGCAAGACCTCCAAGATGGAGGACTTCCCCGCCTTCAACCATGAGGACGAGGCGTCCTTCAATCCTCTTCACCTGGCAGCACGCCTGCTCTTGGAGAAGTACCCGGGCCTCCGGGTTACGCGTACGTGCTTTCCCCCCTCCTTGCTCCTCCTCTCCCCCGGCCGGTGTCCCCCCTCCTTGCTCCTCCTCTCCCCCGGCCGGTGTGCTATCTGCCTTCACCTGCGCCCACCTCCGGCCATGCGTGGCTTCTGATGGCTGGATCCGGGCACACTAACCCCGGCTGCTGCAGTTCCCTTCCGAGCGGCCAAAACCAAGAAGAACCCCATCCAATGCCCGATCATGGGTTGCAACAAGGAATTTACCACACACCTGGGGATGAACTACCACCGGCAGTCACACCTCCACTCGCTGGGGGATTTTCTCAGCGCCGCCCACACGCATTTGTCCCTTTCGCCATCTCAACTCCACAGTATGTATCCCCTCTCCAGATCGGAAGAGCACACGCAAAACCAAGAAGAACCCCATCCAATGCCCGATCATGGGTTGCAACAAGGAATTTACCACACACCTGGGGATGAACTACCACCGGCAGTCACACCTCCACTCGCTGGGGGATTTTCTCAGCGCCGCCCACACGCATTTGTCCCTTTCGCCATCTCAACTCCACAGTATGTATCCCCTCTCCCTGCTGGCAGCTACCTCCTCCGAAGTGAAATCACTCATGCTCTCTCTCCCCTCCCCTCGGTTGTCCATATGCTCTCTCGCTCTCTCTTCACAGGCTACCTCACTCGAGTGGGGGACTCCGTGCTGCAGGTGAATTTCGAGGTGACCGGCATGTTTCAGGCCTGTCGGACATTGGATTTCATCATTGGCGAGCATACGGCCGTTGAGCTGGCCTCCCCCAACCGGAAGCGCCCCCGGCCGCGGCAGTTTGCAACGGTCCGCTCGCCGGCCGACCTGATCGCCACCGGTGAATTGGCCGGCACCGGCCTGGCAGACATGTCGCCGGTTGACTCGCAGTCCGGACGGGCACCCCTCCCGCTGGCCCTGCTACAGGGAGTGGTCACCATGACCCGGCCGCAGCTGAACAAGTCCAGCCTGCCCCCGGCCCTGACGTCGATTGTCTTTCATTCACCGGTTCCCCGGGCCACGCGCAAGAATTTGATCGAGCTGGTGTCGCGATCGTCGAAGGTGAATTTGCAGGCGGCTGTCTGGCGCGCACGCCGGAAGCCGGTGGACTCCTTCCATGTGGGCCCGATGGCCGGAACAGCCCCCGCCACAGGGCGCACACCTTTCCCGGGGCTCGTGTGCTCCCGGGGATCGGTCTCGCTGCCGGCATCGGAAACCGTGGCGTACGCCGGACCCTCCTCGCGGCTGCTGATGCGCCTCCGATTGTTGCTTTCGGCGTCTGACCCCCTTTTGCCATGCCTCTCTTTCGGCCCCTGCTTGCCCCCTCTGCTGCTTGCTTCTGCGGAAAAAAAAAAAAAAAAAAAAAAAAAAACAATAGCGCGGTGGCCGACGTCCTCTCGGCCCGGCCAGCCCCCTCCTTCTCGCTGACCTCGGTCGAGACCCTCCCCGGGGCCAAGATCCTCGGCATCAACAACCCGAAGATGGCATATGCACTCCCGCCCCTTTCGGCCCTGTCATTGGATCCCCTCGCCCAGTCGATCGTCAATGCGGGTGGCGACATCCGCTCCCTTGCCTGGGCGCCAGTGGCACATCGTGCGTCTGCCAGGCCCATCTCCCCGCTCCTTCCTCGGGTCCTCCTCTCCTGCCCACAGCCCCCCACTGCTGGCGACAATATCCCATGGCTGGCCTGGTGCTGACACCCTCCGTGCGACGCTGTGCCCATCTCCCCCGGCCCCTCGCCCCCCCCCCCCCCTCTCTCCCTTCCGATACCTCGACACCCAGGCGATCATGCTCCGCTGCTTGCGGTGAGCGCCACCCCGGCGTCACCCTTCACCGACGTCGAGCCGCAGCTGAGCTTCTACGACTTTTGTGACCAGCCGGGCTTGATTCAAATTTGGAGCACCAGGTACTGACTCGCCTTGCGGTCCATGATGCGCTCTCAATCGCGGCCCTGCTAATGCCAACCCCACCCCCATGATGACGCCTCCACCAGCGACACTCCCACTTTGCAGATGTGCATCTCCCACTCCTCGGGCATCTGCTGTGATATGGCATGGTGCCCGGCGCCCTTTGGCTCGGACCTCACGCAAGACCAGCCGCCAGCCGACCCCGACGATCGGTCCACCTTTCCGCGTCTCGGACTGTTGGCATGCGCCTTCTCCGATGGCACGATCAAGATCTTCTCGGTCCCCTGCCCTCGAGCCCTCCAGACATCGTGGACCTCCTTCAATGCCTCGCTTCACCCCACCCTCCGGTGTCCTGGTGCGCACTCCGGCACCCTTTTTAGCCGACTTTTCCAGCGGGCGGAGGGGATGCTGTGCACCCTGCTTCCCTGATTTGTGGCTTACTCTCAGCGCCCTTGTCTGCCAGTCATTGCCCTTGTGCCAGTGCGTGATGTCCCGCTCTCCGGGGTATCGGCCGACGATTTGATCAATGGCCGGGCACCGCCGCATGCGTCGGGCCTTTGCCTTTCCTGGCACACCCACACCGATGGGGCCCTTCTGGCAGCCGGCTTGTCATCCGGCTTCGTGGTGGTTATTTCCCTGGATGCGGACTCGGCGCCGTTGGACACCGCAGACCGGGATCCAGCCTCCGAGGCAGCCGCCACGCGCCGGACCTCCGAGTCGCTGCTGGACGTGGCCGCATGCTTCCGCGCGCACCTCAAGGCGGTCCGGGCGCTGAGCTTCTGCCCCTTCGATGGCACCAAGCTCCTGACCGCCTCCGATGAGGGGGCCACTGCCATTTGGGACATCACCATCCCCAGTGCCCCACTGACCATGACCCGCGCTCGTTGTACGTGGCACCCGGCCAGGCTGGCCATCTCCCGCGACTCTCTGTCGCCCCCATCACCGACGTTGTTGATCTCCCTGCCTGCCTCGCCTTTCTCGCCTCCTCTCCTCTTTTTGTCAACTGACCGGTTTGCTGCGCAACGGGTGGTGTTTGGCATCGCCAGCTATCAGCCAAAGCGTCGGCTGGACCCTCCTGCCCATGGGGTTTTATTATGCCGAGGATTCCTTCCTCAATGTGTGCTCCTTCGAAGACTCGATCACCTCGTTGTCCTTCACTCGGCAACTGGAGCACTCGGGCAGCTTGATGGTGCGCATGCCCTCGCCGACCTATCGACTGTCCTTATCACGCACGCACGCACGCATGCACGCGCAATTACTTTGAGACTGATGTTGCAAGTGTGGAAAAAAAACCATCACACCCGCTGGCACATCTTCTTCCCCAGTCATCGGATGTCTCCACCGATCATGGTGTCATCGCATCGGTCGGCTCCGATGGTGTCCTCCAGGCCATGGTCAACCAGACATACATGCGGCACAAGCTCCCCTCGGTGGCCCTGCTGTCGCTCACCCCCTGCCTGCCGACTCCGGAGCAGCGGACCTCCCAACAGTTTGTTCCAAACCATTGGCGCATGCAATTGGGCATGCGAGAGGTGCTTATTTGCCTCCAGACATACACACACACACACATCCTGCCTGCACACCTCAACGGCCCGCTTCTTTTTCACCTCTCCCAAGGACTGACCATTCCATCATGCGCGGATGACATCCCCCACAGGCGGAAAAACCCTCCAAGGAGGTGGTCTTCCACCCGGGCCAGTGCTGGACGAGCGTTCGCTGGGCCGCAACCGGGCCACTGCTCGCGGCCGGGTCCGGCCTCGGCACGGTGCACATCATTCGGCTAACCTGACGAATACATACCCACACACCCGCAGGGCCCTTCCCCCTCCCTTGGGAGACTCCTGCCGGTTGGAAGCCCGACAGCTGAGTAAATTGCACCACACACTGCCCATGTATCCATCGGAGTAGGAGGGGAGCGACGCGAGGGCAGGAGGCGCAGAATAATGCCGTATATTGCATGCATGCGTGTCTGTGTTTGCTCGTGCATGTACATGCGTGGGCGTGTGCATGATTCGCGGTCGGCGGCTGGCGGGCAGACACATGCGTCTGTGGCCACGCCCCGCTCCGGTGGACGCCACGCATCAATCCCACAGCTTGATGGTGGAATCCCACGAGCAGGTGACCACCTTACTGGTCTCATGCGGCAGCCAGGCGCAATCGATCAACGTATCGTTGTGGCACTTGAGCACCCTGTGGTGTGTGTGAGCCAGGCGCGGGGGGGGGGGGGGGGGGGG